TGTGTGCGTCAAAGTTAAACGACGCTGCTAACAGGCATACTCACCATTCAAACTTGATGTAAATTACTTTCAGAAATGTTTTGTCAGAACTGGTTTTTTATAATGCATATTACTAAGGTAAAATGACTTGGTAAGTAAGTTGAAGATGAGGCCCAGCTAGAGGATATTGACGTTAGTACTCAAAGTAGCTAGAAAAAAGGCGTTATACTAAAGAATGCAAATGAAACCAGTGATTTGGACATTCGTTTTCAGAAAATGCTGTTACTGAGCCAAAGACTCAAAAGAAAATTGATCATGCAGACCTTAGAATTCAGGGTTTTGTGTTGTTAGATTTTGGGACCCACCATTTCTTTCATCCTCCGCGGATACTTTATCGGAAGCAATCACGATGCTGTTCAACATATCTCTTCCCTAAACTTACCTGTCTGGTTGCTAGAAGAAAGCTGTAGTTAGTCCTATCAGTCAGGCAGCAACAACGTAAAACGTCGTACGTACGTACATCAATTCATGTTGCCATACCACGATATCATGGAAATGCAATCGTCGATTGAAATCCCATATTGGTAGAGGAATGTAAGGAGACAGACTGTGCCTAACTTTCGACATATCTGTTAAACTAATATAGTACTTAGTTACTGAAAATAATAATTCAGGCTGTGGTACTCAGTCACGTAGTATCGAACAATCTGTTAGTTCCTGAGGGGTGCATGTTTCGGAATAAACATTTATGCTTAGCTGACTTACTAATTGTAAAAGATAACTGTGCAGCAGCCCAAGATAATGGTTTTTCTGTTGACGTTTGATAAGATTTTTCACTAACAGTTCATACAAGAGCTCTCGAGCTTTGAAACAATAGGTGCTGTACAAGAGTAGCTAAGAAACTTCCATTGTGACCGGAGACTTCGTGGGAATAAATGAGGCTCCATCTGAATGGAAACCGGTAAAAATGGATCAAACTCAAGGGACCATCGTGGCCCCCTTGTTTTTCTTTTCTGCATCAGTAAATTACCGAGACAGATTCAATCGTCAACCCTTGTTTGCAAATTGTGTCAAAATCTGGGAAACACTAAAAAGTAAGGCTGATCATCTCCAAACTAACCTAGAATTGTTAATAATCAATTCCAGAAAAAGTGTGCTAATGCACATTGAACACGGATATTTGCTAGTAGTAGACTATCAACGATATGTCGCTTCAGCGCGTTCAGGAACAACAGTAAGTCATGCGTTGAAAATAACTGTACATCGCAATGCAGCAGATGCCAAAGATGTTTTAGTATCATGATCACTTCGTTAAGCATTCGAATGCTTTGACGGGGATATGCTTCGGGTTTTATACGTAGCCTAGAGTATTGTATTCAAAAAGCTAGTCTATGCCTCACTAAAGATGCTTTCACATTCGAAAGTATCCAGCGCATGGAAGCTAAGTTAGTGACTGGTTTTTCTAAATCCTCCCTACGATGAGCACTCAAAATGCCCTGACAATTTGCCTCTATCGTATTGTATAACAAGCGTTGGTCTTATGTTGGCACTCTGTATCTTGAATAATAATTTGGATGTTAACATGTCTTACCTTTCTGCTGCCTCAAGAACTAATAATCTCTGAGAAAACGGCAAAAAGGTTCAAAAAACCGCGTTCGAACATATTTAGAGTGGGATTTTGTTTTTCTCACCAAGTGACTGAAACGCCTTACCTGTTCAGGTAGTATCAGCCTCATCAATTAACAATTTTAAGGAGAAGCTAAATCATCTCTGAAATAAAAGCTTTTAGGATTAACACAGGTCTATCAACCTACTCTTCTTATTAATGGAGACTTAAACCTGATTGGTTCACTAATATACTTCATTTCTACCGTTAATTTTATTTGTACTACTAAAGTTCATTGAAGCTTTCATACATGAAACTCATGTAATCAAACATTGATATGGAATGAATAATAATCGATGGTTAGATACCCTGAATAACATGGCGCAAAACCATTTGTAATGGCGCCGGTGCATTTATTCTTTGTGTTCTTCTGGATTCTTCAACCCCTCTAGTTTTGACTTTTTAAACTTTTCTCACTGAATCATACTTTTTGAATAATATCTTCTAATCCTAACCTCTCCGATTACTTCTAATACCTTTACTACCTCTTCTACTATTGGATTTGAATTGACAATTATATCTCTGTGCTGATGTGGTATGGCAACATGAACTGATGTACTTACGTACACAGTTCTACGTTGACTGACTGAATGACTGATATGGAATGTGTATATTCGAATCCGGTTACTTATGAAAAATAAGTTCGGTAAACTCATATGGTTGTGATTTTTTTTTATAAACATCCAATTATTTTAATTTGCTAGCCATCACATAAAAATCACATTCGATATCACAGCTAAAGTTTAGATGTATGTACCTTTAAACGAAGTTATATAATAAATTTCTAATGATTCTACAATGTAATATGTTGAAATATTTTCAACTTTTCAATCTTCTCAATTTATAATTTATATGTATATTAAAAATTTGAAGGATGATATGGATAATTGCAATCAACGATTAATTTAGGTTAACTATGTGGAGTTATTATATTAGTTAGTATATTAGTTCCTGCCACAAAGCTTTAAAACAAGTCGACCAAAACAAGCTTTAAAGCATATTTCAACGAGCAATGAAAACGGACTAGTCAATCAATCAACAACAACGTAGAACTTTGTACGTACGTACGTACATCAGTTCAAGTTGTCATACCACTGACTAGTGTATTTAACAGTCAGTTTCTGATAAATCTGTTTCGAAATCGGTCGAAATCTGTCATCTTATAAAATTCAGACTAGGATTCATCAACTAAAAGTTTCTATGCTGTTTTAGGTTGATTACTGATTATAGCATTTTTATCCAATTCTATACCTATTAGTTATGCATTTTGATTTGTACCTGTACCATCCATGAATGACAAATCTTTAAATCCATTTGAGCTTTACTCTCCAACTTTTTAGGTTCATTTAAAGCACACAGTGGACCACAACAAATTGATAGTTTTTAAAAGATACTAAAGACTGAACACCTGTACACATTTATCGTTACTTAGCTTAATCAGACATAATGTACCTCCAAAGAGTGAGACTTAACATTTCACTATACTATGTTTTATTTGTTACTGAGCAAGTTAATTTTAGCACAAGACTTCATATACCAGTTACTCGTTAACTTTATTCATTTATTTGACAAGACTTTATCAGCTACTTCCTTATTAGAATTATGTTGTAATAGAGTCTTATTGGTGGTACAGTTTGGCTTTCGCTGTACAAAATCTATGATTCGAATCGCCTTCTACTTATTTCGGTTTAAGCAACCAATCAGTGTCATTAGTCATATTACTTAGAGTAAAGATCATACTCAATTACTTGCTGATTCAGTTTATTTACTTATTTTCATTTCTGTGTACCAAAAATATCACAGTCAAAAAGAGGTGCATAACAATAATAGAATTACTGGATGAAGCCTCAAGTTGATTATTTAGAAATTTATCTGGGGAGTCTCATCTGTGCTGATAGCCTGGTGACTGACGAAATCTCAGCACGGATACAGAAGGCTCGATTGGCTTTTGCCAACCTGCGTCACCTATGGCGCAGGGGAGATACCCGCTCGCTAACCAAAGGACGAGTGTACCGTGCAGAAGTTCGCTCCGTTCTACTATATGGATGCGGAACATGACCGTTAAGAGTAGAGGACATTCGTAGGTTACTAGTCTTCGATTATCGATGTCTTCAAAGCATTGCTCGTGTATCATGGGACAAACGAGTAAGCAAGCAGTCGTTAGGAAACGAGTTCTAGGTAATGATGGCAAATCAATAGATGAAGTAGTTAGACTTCATCAGTTGAGGTGGTTGGGACATGTGTTGCGTATGGCTAACCACTGACTGCCGCGACGAGCTTTGTTTTGTAGTGTAGGAGTAGGTTGGAAGAAAGTTAGGGGCGGCCAAACCAAAACATGGCATAAATCCATGAAGTTATTGACGAGTGGGCTTAGCCATGTCGGTAATCGTCGACTACCTGATTCGGGTCCGCGAGATGATAATAATCGATGGTTAGAGACCTTGAACGACATGGCTCAAAATCGTTTGCAATGGCTCAGCTGTATCCACTCTTTGTGTTCTCTCTAATTGTAAGCTTCTGAATTCCTCATAATCTCTATCTTTCTCCTTCTAAATTTATCTTACTGAATTATACTTTTCGAATCATATCTTCGCTCCCTAATCTTCTCCATTACTGCTAATAATTCTACTATCACTATCACTCTTGGATTTGAACTGACAGTTTGTGTCTGTGTTCTGACGTGGTATAGCAACCTGAACTGATGTACTTATGTACGAAGTTCTGCTGCATTGTATCTGTCTGTCTTATTTGGAAATTATGATTTAACTCTTTTACAAACAAAAATTATTTTAGTTTTTGCATAAATAAGTTCATTGAATTATTCTTTAGAAAAGAATAAATAATTCATAACGAAACCGATGAATATACCTTTTTTTTGGTAAAGCCACACTAACTACCAACATAGCATCAATACTGCGAGTTTCCATTTCCTACGGCTCAAAATCGTTCACAATTGTGCCGGTGCATTTATTCTTTGTGTTCTCTCAAATCCTAATCTTCTGGATTCTTCAACACCTCTAGTTTTGTCTTTCTAAACTTATCTCATTTAATCATACTTCTTGAATAATATCTTCTAATCCTAACCTCTCCGATTACTTCTAATACCTTAACTACCTCTTCTACCATTGGATTTGAATTGACAATTACATCTCTGTGCTGATGTGGTATGGCAACATGAATTGGTGTGCGTGCGTACGAAGTTCTACGTTGCATCTGACTGACTGACTGACTGACTGTTTCCATTTCCTACTATATATTTGATCGATTTTTCTTTTATACTATCTTTATTTCTCTTTATTTGTTAATATTTACTTTTCAGATTTGTTAACAACATTACCTTGAGATATTATAAATTATGTCAACTGATTATTCTGATATGCCATTACCTCCTAATTGGGAGTTGAAATTCGATGCAGCATCGGGGCATTGGTAAATTGTTACATATATATATATATATTATGCGAATTAATCATTCTTATTCAATTTAGGTTTTATATTAATCATGAAGAGAAAACAACTAGTTGGGATGATCCACGACCTGAATATTATTCAACACAACAATTAGATCGTTTAGTATGTAATAAATTTTGATTATTGATATGCATTATGGGGTTGTGAAGGTTGTTAAGTTACACATTTTCAAAACCATGAATTGATCAATGTTAGACCACTGTTAGAAACCTGGAAGCACTGGACAGCCGTTTCGTCCTGGTATTGGACTCATCAGCAGTGCGTATACACGTCAAGAATCTTCTCCGAGTTCTAAGTGGGAAGACGTTACCAGTGAAGTTCAACCTGTTCGGGTGTAGACAATAACTACTACCGAAGACTGTGTATGAGGTTGCGCAACTCCGTGAATTGACCGAAGTTAGACATTAACACCGTCAGATACCGACTCAGTGGTCTAACGGTTAGGTCGTTCGCGCCCAATACCGAAGGTCCTGGGTTCGAGTCCTGCGGGGCGCAGGAGTCGTGGATGCACACTGCCACTGAGGAGTCCCATACCAGGGCGAAACGGCCGTCTTTCAGTGCTTTCAGGTTTCTAATGGTGATCTAACTAACATTGATCGATTCATGGTTTCAAAAAAAAGATGATTGATTTATTTGTTTGTTTAATTTTTTCATATTTAGAATACCTATAGAATGGGTTTTGGTGATCGTCAAGATTTAATTGGTGAATTTTTCGATATTCCAGAAAGCTCTCCTAAGTAAATATGAATTTTTTTCCTGTAATTTGAAATGTTTGTGTTGATTGCTGATTTTTCTATTTTCATTTTTTTTTTAAAATTGATTCATTTATCATTCACGGTTGTTAGTCTTGGATGCAAGTAAAGTAGTGTCATTTGTTATGAATGGTGTAATCATGTAATATTTT